CAAGTCTGGCTAGACCAGAGGGTGTACACTGGTACAGATAAGAACTGGAAACAAAGGGAATCCAGGGCGGATGATCCCTTCAGGACCAGTGGTGTGAGTAGCATACTGGGAATGTAGAGGGAGAGTGGGTTGGAAAGGGGGAATCAATTAAAAGAATCTACATGTGACCTCCTCCCTGGGGGCCGGACAACAGAAAAGTGGGTGAAGGGAGACTTCGGACAGGGCAAGATGTGACAAAATAATAATTTATAAATTATCAAGGGTTCATGAGGGAGCGGGAGAGGATCTGATGCTGGGGGCTTAAGTGGAGAGCAAATGTTTTGAGAATGATGAGGGCAATGAATGGACAAATGTGCTTTACACAATTGATGTACGTATGGACTGTGATAAGCATTGTATGAGCCCCTAATAAAACGATTAAAAAAAACCAGATATAGAGGCAATATATTCCTATTTGGGGTTTTGTAATTACAGTTTATTAATGTCTGTTTTCTTCCTTAGGGTTGTTAGGTCAAAGTAACATGCATTGCATCTTGAAAAATGATAGTGTAATATCAAGCTATCATCGAACAGCTATTTACTGAGTATAAATATTTGCAAAACAAAACTCGCTGCTATCAAATCAATCCTGACTCCTAGGGACCCCCGTGGGCTTACGGGAGTGGAAAGCCCAGTCTTTCTCCCCGAGTATACTACATAGAACATATCATTTTGATGGGCCTTCTTGGGGGCACACAAGGAGCCAAGGTGGTGTACTAGGCTATGCATTGGGCCGCTAACTCTTCAAACCCACCAGTTGCCCCATGGGAAAAAGCAGAGGCAACCTAAGTTTATAAAGATTTATACTCTTGGAAACCCTAGGGAGCACTCTGTCCTATAGGGCTATGATGAGTCAGAATTGAATTGATGCCAGTGGAACTTTTTGGTGGGGTTTGTAGGGCACACAAGAGATGATAAGATTCTGCCTTTTGGGGGTTGCTCATATATTTGGGGATGCATCATCACACATTCATGAAAAGACACGAAATCCATCAAGGCAGGAAGCAGAGGTCAAATGAATAGGATAGATAATTAGTGTGGATTCTTCCACCACCTATCTATCTGCAGAGACAGGTACTTATCCTTGAAATAGAGCTCACATTCATCCTCTTCTTTCCATTTCTACCAGCACCTCCCACATCCTTCCAAGACCTCACCAGCTTTCTTTGGACTCCCCTGACTGATTCTCTTGCCTTTCACTGTTGCCCGTCCTTCATTCATTCTCCACCTAGCTGACCAAGGTTAGAATGGGAAGGTATATATGAGTAGGCTTTCAGTGATAGAGCAGCTTTTGAGAGGGAGTGTGTTAAGGAAAACAGTTTCTGATAAACGTGGATTCAACTCCGGGGCCTCAAACACCTATTTACCTGTATGATTTTGGGCAGGTTAATGAACCTCTTTGAGCCATCTTAACCTGTAAAATGGGGAAAACAATCCCTACTGTGTAACGTTACTGTGAGGAGCAGTGAGGTTCCCATTAGGTCCCACTGGGATGCATATGATCAACTATAGCCAGTCACACCTGCATTTAATTCAGTGTCTCAGTTGAGGGTGTGCATGAAGACCATAGTTAGAGCTTTGTACAAACTTAGTTAACAAAAACCCACCCAGTGCTACTGAATCAGATGAGTTATCTCTGGGTAGTTGTGGGAGATGGAACTCTAGCATGTGTATTTTTCCAAAGCTTTCAGGTGATTCAGATGCACAGTTGTTGTTTGGAACCATGCTTTTATTCATTTATTTTTTAAAAAACCATTTTATTGGGGGCTCATACAACTGTTATCACAATCCATACATACATCAATTGTGTAAAGCACATTTGTACATTCATTACCCTCATCATTCTCAAAACGTTTGCTCTCCACGTAAGCCCCTGGCATCAGCTCCTCATTTTCCCCCTCCCTCCCTGCTCCCC